GCTCCTCGGCCTAGCTAAACTGTTGTTGCTTTTTTTCTTACACAAAGATCTCATAAATGTAAATATTTTAGAACAGGCACCTTAAGTGTGACAAGTTATTTGTTGTCAATACATCAAAGTAAAAATAAAAATAAAAAAGTAAAATAAAGTAACAGATATATAATTACATTAAAGTAAAATAACAGATATATAAGAGTAATTTTTAAACGGTGAAGTAGATGTTGCATTAAAAGTAGATGCATAATGAAGCTTTAATATATATTTCAATTTTATGTACTCCATACATAATGTTTATTTAAGTATATTTCGTTAAATAATAATACAGTAAGGCAAGACACACACAGATTTCACATATTTATTGAAATGTAATCGGCTGTAGAACAGAAGTGTTATTAGCAGAGAGACAAGCGGGAGAAGGATGCCTACATTTTGATACTAAAATTAGATTAGGTTACAAAAGTTATAGTTTCATTTTGGTTGTAAGTTTTGTTTTGCAAATCTAAAAGGCTTTAGTTTTACTTTTCCCATTATGAAAGTACATGCGTCATGAGAAGAACAATATGGCAGGGATTGATTTTGAAATGAAGTTGTAGTGAGATATTTATTATAAGCCTTTTGCTGTTTTTAGATTAGAGGGGAGAAACAACTAAAATGTGAATTAAGCAGCTATTACAAATTAAAATTAAAATCTTATTTTACCTATTTTTAATATACTCATATTACATACACAGGAGGATAGATCCATCAAGTGGAATAATATATATATAGTGCAACCTACGGCTGATTTTTACTCAATGCGATTTAAGAAAACATTCAGCAAATAAGTCATCAGTTCTTATTTCATTTCCGATCTGAGAGGTATCTTTTCTCCAGAATATCACTGCCAAGCATTTCTCACAAAGAGCATGTCTGAGCTGAAAACAATTTTCATGTCAATGTTCCTTGTAAGCATCAACACAGATTTGCCGTGATCGTCTGGGCAAGAATCTTTGCTGATTTCTTGGTGAGTCTTTACTTATTGCTAGAACATTTCACCAACGCAGAGCATCGTTTCTTCCTGAGACAAGTATTACTTTTCGGTTGGTTATAGGTTGCTCCGCTCACCACACAGAGTAACATGTGGTTTATGTGTGACAGAGTTGTAGCAGACTTTATCATCGCGGTCCCACACTTCCTAGATACCCCCGGCCTATTCCGGACGGCGGATTGAATATGATGGGCCTGTGGCTTAGACTCCAAATTTACCAAGTTGAAATCTGCTATACATGTTCTTCTGGAGCAAGTGAAATCATTGACGTCCAGACAACGATGAACTCCGTGAAAGATCTCGTTACGAGAATCGTTGTTGCAGTGCATAAGATAAAAGCGAATCCAGGAGTTTTCGAGAATTTGCGTCAGTCTTTAATTCGCATTTGTGAACTGTACTACGACCTCTTGGACCCCAATTTGAGAATTTAATTTGATTCATTCTCTGATCCAAATAGAATTATGCAACTTATAATTTTGTTAATTCTCTTTTATTTCACCGCTGAAAATTCAAACTCGCATTTAACTTTACGCTTTTCTAACACTAAGTGGCATAAGGACCTAGGTTCCCTTGTAAATATTTTCTGTCTTCATTAGCACTATCAGCCCTCCTTTTTTGCTAAATCGTCTTTCGAAAACCTGTACATATAAATCAAAATCTCGAAAATCGAAACTCAAATGAAAATGCCGTACTAAATATGTGAAGGTTAATCCTATTTTCTCCCTGTAGCAAAATAAACTGGTAAAACGCAAATTAAAGAAAATCACAAAAAATCTAATAAAAATGTTCACTTCAAAAAGGAAAAAAAAATATAAAGAAAAGGAAATTTTTACATATGAAAACCAAAATAAAATAATAAAATTAAAAAAATAGTAAAATTTAATCTTCTTTGTTTAACGCTTCAAACAGAACTTGTCAAGGGAAAAGTGTTTGAAGCCTTAAACCAAGTTGATTAACGACTGACGAAAAACATGTTTCTTTCCAATGAATTCCCTGAGACTTTAAACCGCTTTAAATTAATCCAACTTTCTTTTCAAACAGAATTTAATTTAAAAGTCTCATAAAATTCATTTCTTTTCTCTACATGCCTTTGTACTCATATAGTACAAAAAAATTATATACAATTGCAAAAACATTTTCTAAAAAGGCTAAATATGATTCAAATACTAAACAAAAATAAAAATAAACTATGTTTACAGAATTTAATAATCAATTTAATTTCAAAATTGAAAATTAAATTGTATAGTATATATATCCTAAAACTAGGGCTGGCTCATTTAAGTGAAGAAAAAGAACCAACTTTTTTGAGAAAAAAATTTCTGTCAAAGGAAAAATAAAATAGTAATTTCTGGAGCAAATTTTGCTTAAAGAGGGGAATAAAAACATTACCATGAAAACAATGTAACAATTGCAAAAATCTAACTTACCCTTTTGTAGACGTATTAGCCTGTAGTAAGTATCAACTTATTGACAAAATTTCCGACGCCTAAAAGGTTGTAGAGTCTAAAAGGTTAATTGGAAGCAGAAAAGATGAAAAATATGCAACCGCCTTCGCCGGGAATCGAACCACGGACCTCTGGAATACCGGCCCAGCGTGCCACTGTTACACCTCGAAGGCATGCTAGGGACGAAGTTCACATCGTTGAACGCACTGCTCTAGATCTTCGATATTGCTGCGCACATCCCCGGTCTAACAATGGACACGACCAGGCTATGGTAACCAAAAATTTGGAATATTGGCAATCTTCAAGTCGGGGAGTGACACACACTGCAGCATGCAAAACGACCATGCAGGAAGCCGAACCAAGAAATTGAAAACGACCGAAATATCACTTTCTACTACTGCTTCTCCTTCTTTAGCAACTACAATCATGGACCTTATAAGAAATGAGTTTCTTACAAGGTTCATCAGCATCAGCGTATGACGTTTCTAAACAAGAAATGCGTATGCTAATTTCCAGCAGGGGACACAAAGCCATTGTCTGCATTTGAGAACCAAGCTCATATCATTATTTTTATATACGTAAAGATAATTGTAAACACTAGTATAGCTATAATACTTGAATATTTGATGCTTAATTATTTATTTCGGCATTCATAGGTGTTCTTTCATGCATGTTCTGACTGCTCTAATTTTGGATTTCAGATAAACTTCTGGCCCTACTATAATGTTCAATATTTCTTGGGCCCTTTTTTCTTGTTTGTTTGCTTTTTTTAATGTTAAATTTATATATTCACGTATTCTTCAGTTTTATTCAATAATTGCATATCTCTCTGATTGCGGTTTAATACATAGAGATGGTACAGTAGAGTGCATTTTATGGAGCATAACTTTAAAACTCAAACAGATTGTGAATACATTCCAAATTATGAAACTATTAGAGCAGTTACAAAACGTACCATAATGGTACCTTGATAATAATTCATACATGTTGTAATATACTAACGAAACATGTGGAGAATTTAAATTCTGGTTAAACTCATGATTCGTGGTTATAGCTGAAACTTCTTCAGTGATTATCTCTCAACGCTATCAGTTCCATGGTCATTTATGGTATTGTTGATCATTCCTATATTTATTCATTTTATAAAGTTAAACACATTTTAATTCCAGAATGGATAGGTTTAAAATAAAACCTTGACGTTCACAATATAATTGTTCTTATTCTTACAATAAAGATCTTTAGTGAAAATGGATATCGAAAACTGTATCTTTTGCACAGGAAACATGCACTATAAGCAGTAGCTATACTATTCGTTCCTTAGCCATACTACTAATTCATTGTAGTCAAAGTTGGATTACTGGATTTCTTTTTATTTCGAATCAATACTTTATGACAAGTCGTAAAAGTTATCCTCGGCGATATTATTTACAAAATAATCATAAAATGAAAGCCATGAGTTTTTGGTTGTTCTGTCTTATACAGGAATATGTATGAGAGGGAATGGATGAAAACAGAAAGAACATTCCAAGAGGTCTGGCTCATATTCACGCAAAACATGGAGATTTAGGGAAAAAATCAGTTAATTATGATAGCTGCTTTAAATATCAAAATTGCAATTATAAATTTCCAATAAACTGCTCAGGCATCTTAAGAGTACCAAGTTAAAATAATTAACCTAAGGACCCTACGAAAGAAAAATGAATGATGGATGTGAGAACAAAAAGCATCGACACAGAGGTGCCGCTCCAAAAAAAAAAAGCACGCAATATTTGCCGCATAAAAAGTTGCTTGTCATTATTAGTGTGAAAGCAAGTGATTCAGATTGACTTGCTGGATTACTTTTGATTTACTGAAATAATATCACTGAGGGATTTCCTATTTCCTAATCTGCTAATGGCTAAATGGGGGAAATCATTGAGCACTAGTCGTTTCATTTAAGACTTGATTTTTCAATTAACGGGATGGATGCATTAGAAATTTAGTAATATTCCTCATTTATACTGTAAATGCGATTTTCCTTGCCATATGTTCACACGGGAACTACCGAATCCTCTGCCATAATCATTTACCTACTACTAGCATAGCTCCGTATTATACTGAAAAAGTACTGATTTTGATGCCATTTTATTAACACTAAATTATGCCATTGAATCAAGCCTTTCATCTATCAGATGTGCATGAAAGCATTCCTGCAAAGCATAGTTTGACATCACAAAAAATTAATTGTGTAACTACGACACTGCATGATAAATTAATTGCTGATGATCCACTGTATGTTATTCTCCATATTTCTGATTCAACAACATACGAGAGAACATTTATAACATTCCAGAACCTGCTTTTTCGAGTATTCATGAATTCATGATATGATGAAAAAATGTACTAAACATCTGCCTATGAATAATTAAAATTTCAGGTGACTGATTTGGAGGCAGTAGAAAGGTCAAAATCTGATCATTTCCTTCATTTTTTGAGCAAGACTGATGAAAACGTAGAGAGCTCTCCGCGATTGGCCAATATCGATTTCGGAGGCGGAGTTAGTTCAGTTTAAAGGAGAGCGGCTTGTGAAGACGAAACTTTCGCAGGCCAATTTCAGAAAAGCCATGTCCGGAAGAGAGCTCGTTCAACTAGTGGTGGTTGTCAGCTTGCTGGTATCACTTGTCGAAGCTGAAATGGTATGTTTAATTTTTTATGCCATTCTGGTACAATTCTACCTTGGTCATAGAATGCAAAATCTCTAACGTTATACGTATTTTCAAAAATTTATTTTCGCTTCTGCGGAAAAAATTTATAATGATATTTCAGCGTAGTTACAACCTTTCCAAAGTTTAAAAATGCAAGTATTCCTCTTATAATACGATTTCCTACAACACCGTTTCGCTCTTACACGACAAGAAAATTGCGGAAACCATCATATAGCACTGCAACACGGTTTCATTCTAGTACGTTAATGAATTTGCTTAAACTCTCTTATAAAACTTTCTGTACGTACTTATTTCGATAACACGATTTTTATTTCAAACATTTAACAGACCATGTCTTAAAGTTACGTACTATGCCATCGTGTACAGCAAGCAATAGCAAACTATGTATTTTGCCTCATATGAGATATTGAAGACCATGTCTTAAAGTTACGTACTATGCCATCGTGTACAGCACACAATAGCAACCTATGTATTCATACACTCAAAAAAATAGCCGGGAATACTTACATTTTCTCGCTTCGAAATTCTTTTGAAATTGTATTGTGCCCATCATTTAAATAGCATGTGTCTTGTGCTCCAAGTATTCATTTGTAGATTGAATAAATTATGTAGCTGTGATTTTGGAAAAAACTCCTTTTAAAAACATTTTTGGGTATGTGTTAGCTTTGCCGTTTTTAGAAGCAATTATTGCAAAATTATGTTTCAGTCCTAAACTACGTTTGAAAGCAAGAAAATAACTTTTAAAAGAAAATTTATTTCTTTGGAGAGGAAAATACATATTTTGAATCGTTTTTTAAAAGCGTCTTACGTTGCAAAAAGTCTAAATTTAAATGAGGCAACAGTGAGAACCATTAAAAAGACATGCTGTTTTTAAAAGGTTTTGTATTGATTCTTACTCTCGTATAACACGGCTTCACACAACGCGGTATTTTCTAGGAACCTACCTGTCGTGTGATAGAAAAGACATCTGTACTTGTTTTTATTAGATCTAAAGAAAAGTAACCCATGGAAATATTTTTTCACTTATTTTTAAGCTATTACAAAATTTTTATTCAGAAATTTAAATAACTTGTTTTTTCAATGTTAATAATATAAAATACATTTAGTTTTAGTCATGGAAGAGAAAATTTTTAAATTACCTGCTATTTAAGTTGCATTTAATAAATTAATTTTTATTACGAACTCTGTTATCAGAATGTATTATTTAAGGGAATGTGATTCTTAGGAAAAAAAACTGATAAAATTGTTAAGAACTTTTAAGTTATAATTTGGTGTTAAAAATCCGGACTGCTTTAAATTTATTTCCTAATGCAATCTTTTTACACAATATAAATGATTATGCTTAGACGTAAAATTTCTTTTACGTGCCATTTATAAAGCCCAGTTTTTGAAACAGCAGACTTTGTAAATCTGCAGTGAAAAAAAAATGTCTGCTACGTATATAATTCCTAAGATGATATTAGTTTTGAGAAAAAAATTTCCACGGTTTCTGATTAGAGGTTATTTGTAGCATAGTACCTTTCTTTTTTTTTTCATATACACTCTGTCTTCATACTTAGTTTACCAAAATTTTATTAATACGAAACAACACCAATAAATGTGAATAAAATGCATTGCCTTCGTTTTAATATGCAATCTCAGTGCTAATACTTTAATTTTAAAGTATTAGCACTGAGATTCTAATACTTTAAAATAAAGCAATACATACAAAAAGCAATATATATTAAACAGGAAAAGTAACAAATTTAGCTTTATACTTCTATAAAAAATTATAAGCATACACAACTTATGAGCAATAAATAATAACATGGTTAATATTTTTGTATCACATACTATGATATACTATTGAGCAATAAATAATAACATGGTTAATATTTTTGTATCACATACTATGATATACTATTTATAAAAGATTTTCAATTACTTTAAATAAAAATTAGATAGAGGTTTTTGTATTTAAAATAAAAATGTTTAAATTGTTATTTTTAAAATAAAAATTAGAAAGAGGTGTTTCTATTGTGTAAAATATAAAATTTACTGCCTGCCGTCCGGTAGTTACGGTGGTTAAGAAAGCAAGCAGCCTGTAGGCAGATGACTCATTCTTCGAATCTGTGTCTAAGAATGGATGTTGGTAGTACTAAATATCTTTCTTGATACAGCAAAATGTGTCCGTGTGTTCTGCGCATCCGGAGATTCTTTCTTAACGCAGAGAAGGCGAAACCCCTGGTGGGTCAGCCCACTTCCTGGGCTAAAGTCTGATCATTAAATTAAAGTAATAATAATAATAATAATAGTTTATGCCTGAAAGCTGTTACATTTTGCATGAATGCAGCTCGCCCTATGTTTGGGATTCATGTTAAACATTTTTACACTGTCAAGAAAAGAATTTATTTTTCATCTGGCATCGCATTCAACATTAATCCGTCGTCCTCCTTTTCTTGCCTCATATGAGATATTGGAGGCCTTGATAATTTATTGAGATATTGAGCCTCATATGAGATATTGGAGGCTCATATGAGATATTGGATATTGTCTTGAATGAACATCATCTCTTTATTCTTACTTCTGCTTCAGTGATAATGTCTAAAAATTTTTTTAAATAAAGTGAAGGAAAGAAAAGAGCTTAAGACATGTTACTCAAGATTTTTTTTCTGTTTTCGCACTTATATATTTCAAATAGATACTTAATATTTAGTTCAAATAGTACGGTGATTATAGAAATTGTTGCCATGATATATTTAAACTCAGCTTCTGCACTTCTCTTCGTCATAAGCCATGATATATTTAAACATTTTGCCATGATATATTTAAACTCAGCTTCTCCATTTCTCTTTGTCAAAAGCGTGAGAAAACTTTTGAAGCTGTAAGATATTCGAAATTTAAAACTGTATGACGCTTAGTAAACTAATTTCATTGAAAAAGGGCGTTTTTAATTATTTTAAACAAAATGAGAATTATTTGAGTGTATGCTCTCTAATTTGGAAACTCTTTTACTTTAAAAAAAAAGTAGTTAACATTTCTGTTATCTTTGATTGTTGATGAGTAGTTATAATGTGAAAAATTCGCAATAGTATCTAAAGGTTTGGCTGTTTCCTCTAACTTATACACTAAACAATCTTTGCATCATTGAATGAGTTGTTGCCTTCATCGGCTACTGAAAGTTAGTAATTAAATTCAAAACCTAGAATAACCTAATATGAAATTGCTGAACTAAAATAGTACATCTCGCAGATTAGTAATACAAAATGACTTGTTTAAAACATTTAGAATCTTTATTTAAAAATTAATTTGCATTCGAACTAGCATTTTAATGAGGACATTCAGCATTAGCTATAAATTATATAATTCTTTAAGCCTAGGAAATAAATGCTATGAAAATGCAGCACTTAATGTGTGAATCTAAAACAGGCGGCCACTCAAAGGTTTAACTCCATACAATATTTCGGAAATTGATAACACCGCAGACGGGAATACTTTTTATTCTCACTGATAAATCCACCGCCTTGGACTGTATGGTAGTTAGAAAGCCAGCTACGACTCTTCGAGCTCAGGTTCGAATCTCGGAGAAAGCATGAATATTTGTAAATGTATTCATATTCCATCTTTAGAGACATGAAAGCTCAGACTTTAGACATGGAGATTCGTCTTTAGAGACATGGAAGCTCAGGTTCGAATCTCAGAGAAAGCATGAATATTTGTAAACGTATTCATATTCCGTCTTTAGAGACATGGAAGCATTTAAAACAAACATGAAAACCCCTCTCAGAAGTTGGTGATAGTAGAAGAAGGGTAAATAAGTTCTTTAGAGTGTTCTCAATTAAACTCGAATGGAGGTGCCTAAGAGATACGATATGCGATTAAGAGATAATACGATAAGATATGCGCCTAAGAAAACAGTGCAAGGCACAAAAAGAATCCTAGCTTAAGTAAGCTAAGTATCAATCATTTATCCCAACTTACGTGGAATTCTTGTATTCCAATATGCAGCGATTAGAGAAATGGAGTCAGGCGTTTAAGCAGCGTGTCTCATATAATTCGTACAACATCATGTTGAGTCATCTTTTATATTTTATTCTTAATTCTTGTATGAGCAGGCGAATTAATATAATAGTTCCGTTATCCGTCAGCTCCACTATTTAAAAGAGAAAATCGCATGTATATGTGTGTCTGTGATTCTTATATGGATATTAATCCATTAAATTAATACTGAAAAATAATATTTCACTTCTTATGGAATGTAAGCGTATTCTTTTTTTTTTTTTTTCCTGCCCAGTGGCGGACAATGCTATAATGGCATTAGCCTCTTCTGAGGCCAGAAGTGGTGGCCATTTTATTGTGGAGGCACCTAATAGGCAACCACCATTGCCTCCTATGAAGAGACAGACAATTTTACGACCATGCCTTCTCCGGGATTCGAACCCGGGCCCTTCGGTATCGCAGTCAGGCTCCGCCAACTACTATACCGTTTGGGTGGTGAGTAAAAGCAAATGAAATAATTAATGTGTACCAATACTTTGCGGTAAAGAGTAATTTGTAATAAGAAAACAGAAATCTTCTTTTTTTAGATTTTTTCGTTTAACTTATTGATATATCTGATAGCTGAAAAGTACGTTGCTTTGTAAGTGAAAATAAAATCGTCTCCTCCCCCGTGATTCAGATTTCAATTTTTCATTATAAATCTAATATTTGTCTCCGGCAATAAAATCAGATGAACTCAACATGTATTGGAATTCAAAATCTCTAATAAATATTTTTTACCTGGGTTTTCTCTTCACTCGTATTGCCTTATTCATTGGTTTCTAAGGTTAAAGAATTTTGTAATTTCATATAATGCATGAAATGTTTTTAGGCAAATTTTCCCTTCCAGCTGTTTTATACAATACTTGATTCGCAAGGTCCTGTTTTCGGATGTAAATTTAATTTTAGCCCAGTTTTCAATTTATGAGTCCCTTCAGTTTTCTTCACAAAGA